AATGTTAGCGTGTGTTTTTTGCTGCTATTCGTATTGTTCTAAGGAAGAGAAAATTCAAATGTTGAGCTGAAAATTCATCTTAAATCTTGATAATAACGTACATATGGCCATATTTTTTTAGTTAAATTAATTTGTTTGGAATGGTTGATATTGGAGCTTACTAATGGTACATATATGGCTCAATATATCTAATCTGAAACTATGAAGAAAATGTTAATATTAGCTTGACAATTTATGCCCATATAGTGTTTGATAAAATGCTTAATTAATAGGAGAATTTTGTTTGATTTTGCATTTTTGAAATTTAATTGGTCTTTGTGAGAAGTATGCTAGTTTGAAAATTATGAATCTACAAATTAACTTTTAGATTGCAAAAGAATTTAAATATGAATTTGTATGTAACCATTTAAATTCTTAGGGAATTGTAAGGTTATCAGTAAATTGTTAGGTGTTTTAAATTAAATTGGTAGAAATAATGCACCTACGGTATTTGGTGCAAGGCCTAAGAGAAAATTATGTCTCAAAAAAAAAAAAACTGGCATGGTTAAAATATATGAGTAGATTAATGATATGAATGATAATATTTGAACCAACTCTAAAACATGAATTTTGGTTTTGGAATTTTTAAAAGATGGTGGTTGGTTGAGATTGTGTAATAAATTAAAAATTTATTAAAAATTATATTTATTTATATTCTTATAGGGTGTGTAGAAAAATAGGACCCAAACAAGAATTAAAAGAAGAATATCTTTTGGAATTGAAACTCCGACAAGTAAGTGAATAGCATCCCATTTAATTATTCATTGATAATCTTTTACTGAAATATTTTTCTTTTATGAATTATTTTAGTTTATGAGTTTATGGAATAATGAGGAAGGATAATTGAATTATGAGACGTGCATTTATTTTCTCTCAAGAAATATACTTTCAAGATTGATGAAGGCATCCTTGTTTATTAGACTCTGAAATTTCTTGCTTCTTCAATTAATGCAAGATTGTATATTTTCTATAAAATATTATTTTAGCAAGTTTTGAAATTTGAATCAATTTACACAAGTTTGGCATTAAGAATGAAAACTTTGTTTCAGAAGTAATTATTTTCTCGCATGTTTGAAATGTGTTTTCTAAGAGGACTCTAAATAAAACACTGCTACTAATGGCATACAACTGCATTGGGTGAAAAATTTGTGTAATGTTATTTTCTTTTGATGTAAATATTTATGACTCATGTATTTCAATTTAGAGGTGTGATTAGTTGCTCCATATAAGCTATAGTTATAGTTTTATTTTGATTTACATACTATTTGCTGGCTGGAAGGAGATAAACTCCTGACTGATGTTATGTTCTGTGAAAATTTTGTACAATTTTCAAGAGATTCAATTTACAGGGAAGATTTTTCTAAATTTCTACAAAAATATTGAAGTTTTTGTTATGACAATTAATATCAATAGTTTTAGAATTTTCATATAATCTAATTATAAAAAAAAGAAAACTGAATGAATTTGCGTTTTGAGGATTGTGGAAATGTGTGAAGTGACTCACTCTTGAGCCAGTCACCCTCTATTTTTGAGGTGTGGCAAATCCATATGATAATTATCTATTCAATGTAAACTAGACACTCTGATGAATTTGCCAAATGGTAGTTTTTTTTTTTAAGGTAAACATGAAAGGTAGGTTCCGATGATATAATAAGTGTAATAACCCTAGTGAAAAAGATAAAATAAAATAAAATAAAATAATATATATATATATATATATAATGTAATAAATAAATATATGAGTTTGTGTTTTAATAATAATATATTAATTCTTGGGATATATATATGACAAAAAGGGAAGTTGTTGTAGTGGCAACTATGTAGATATTCTCCCCATAGGTTTAAAGTTCGAACCTGGCTGAGGCAAAAAAGGAGGAGATTTTATTTTATTTTCTTGCTTCTAAAAATTACCAAACTGCCCTTATTCTTATCAAGTATTTTTAAACTCTTCCTTCGTCATTTCTTGACAATTCTGGAGTAGAGAGGGATTTGTGACCAAGACTAACATTCTACTCTTCCTCTCACCGATCACTACCTTCTTCCTCCTCAACTGTAGCTAGCACCGTCATTCGCATGGGTTATCATTGACGGTGTGCTCGTCCGTTCACCTCAGCTAAGAGTTCTTTCTCGGTTTGCTGCTGTTCATCCACCTCTGTCACTGATTCAATCCTTCCTTCATTGTTTGGAATTGTTTCTCCTTCCTTTGTCCATGTGTGTTGATTCATCTAAGGACGTGTAGAAGAAGAGGATCCTGATAAAAAATTGAAGAAAGAATATTTTAGAGATTTGAAACTATGACAAGTGAATAGCATTCCCTTTAATTTATTTTATTGTCATAGACTTTTATTGAAATATTTTATTTTTATAAATTACATTAATTTTGAAAATTATGAAATATTAATAAAGGATAAATGAATTATGGTATGTGCATTTATTTATTCTCAAAAGTGTATTTCCAAGGTTGATGAAAGCATTTTTGTATGGTTGTTAAGTTTTGAAATGCATTAACTATTATAGTACTGTGAGTTTGGCACAATAGCTATAAAGTATAGTTTTCATAAATTTTGAGATTTGAAACAACTCATGCGAGTTTGGCATTGAGAATGAAAATTTTATTATAGAAATAATTATTTTTCTTACATATTTGAAACGTGATTTTAAGAGGACTCTAAACAAAACATTGCTGCTAATGGCAGTTCCGTTAGCCCGTAACGCTGTGATTAAATACTAGCTAGTTTATCTTGCAAGCTTTGTTCTCACGTTTGATATTCGTGGGCTTTGTGCCTGCGTTTGATTTCATGGCCTGAGCCACATTTTGTTATTTGCCCTCGTGGACTGTGTGCCCACGTTTGTTTCGTAGTTTCGACTGCATTTGATTATTTACCCTGATAAACTGTGTGTTCACGTTTGTTTTCGTGGCATATACTGTGTTTGGTTATTTACTCTTATGAATTATGTGTCCATGTTTGTTACTTGTTCTATTGAGTCCTCAAAAATTTTAAATATAGATAAATATCTGTTTATTAAAAATTTACATGATTTACGTGTGAATAAATGATTTTCTTTAAGCATGATAAAAATATATTGCTTCTAACTTTTATTTTACGATTATGATTACGACTTACAGACTTACAAATTTATTTTGTTGAATTATTTTTATTTAGTTTGTGCTATCATCAGAGGTTGTTAATTTAGATTTTACAATTTTACTTGGGAATGCTATTCATTGAAAACTTATTTTGGCCTCAGATTTGTTAGTTGACGCTGATTTCACCATTGACTTCTGAAGGGCAAACTAACTATAGTAGGTAGAAATTTTTGATTGGTACTGTTGCTTTTAATGTAAATATATAATTTGTATGTCTTTTTGATTTAAAAGAAAAAATAGATCCTCCATATAGATTGTTTATACTATTATCTGTAAAAAATTTTGTTATGGAATTTTCGGGAGATCCTAGTTACAGGGGAGGTTTTGTTGAAATTTCTACAAAAATGTCAATATTTTTTATGACAATTAGCTTAAAAAAATTATTTTAATTCTCATGTAATTTAATTAATTTTTTTTCTTTTGTAAAATGAAATAAATTTTCATTTTGAGATTTACGGGAATGTGTGAGTGGTTCATATTCGTATTAGTCACCTCCTATTTTTTAGGCGCGACAATAAGAGATTATCTCTCCTGCAACATTGAGAGTAAAAGACAATTTGTTTTAAATGAAGTTGCCGTCATATGATTGTACTTCATACATGTGTTCATTAATTGTATGGACTCATGTTTATGAATAAATTACTTTGGGCTCTCAAAAAGTCATCATGTCACCAAGCCCATTTACTCATTCTGTTATAAACTTTCACTTGGCATATATACTATTCTAGCATTAATGGAAGCTAGAGTGAAAAAAATCATGGAAACGCATTCAGTATTCATTAATTCTGATGAGCACGCATCGTGAAAATGCATTCGATACTCATTAATTCCGCATGCTCATCACCCTATGGGGATAATTTGAGCCTTTCATTTCTCTTTAAAATGATCTTTGTCATTGATTCAAAATTAATTTTTAAATATTTTTATATTATATTTATTAAAATAAAAATATATAAAAATTATAAAAAAATTAACATTAAATATGAATTATTTTTTATTCTTATTAGAGGATAAATATCATAGCACTCATCACCTCTCATAAGATATGGATAGTCCAAATTTAAATTTTTTATTTTTATTTTGTATTTATTAAAATAAAAATATGTAAAAAATAGAAATTTTTAATAAATATATCTATTACCAATCTGGCCAGTATAGATTTAATCTAGATGACCCAATTTAATTTTATTTTTTAATAATTTTTATAAATTAACTATCCAAATAAACTCCGAACAGTACATATATAATCTAAAAAGTTTAATTTAATATTAAAAATTTTAAAATTTTAACTAATTGACCATCTAGATATATTCTGGATAGTTTATATTAAATATTATAATTTTTTATAATTTTTATTTTGACAAATATAATATAAAATATTTAATAATTTTAAATCAACAATAGATCATTTGAGAGAAAATGAAGGGCCCAAATCACCCCATAGGGATGATGAGCACGGTGTTCATCAATATTGATAAGCACCGAATGCAATTCCAAAAGATCATACATATTTAATATTATAGTTGTTCATAATTTTTATTTTGATAAATATAATATAAATTATTTAATAATTTTAAATCAATAGCAAATATCATTTGAGAGAAAATGAAGAATTTAGATCATCCCATAGGAGTAATGAGCACGATGCTCATCACCGAATGAAGTTCCAAAACATCATACGTATAAATATTCATTATCTTTATATGCATCTTTCTCTCCCCCATTCATTGCCTTCGATGAGTCTATATATATGCTACTTCTAGATAAAGACTCAATTTTTTTGGATAGAATTAGTTAAAATTTCATACCGTTTTATACATAAAAGATACCATGGCCAATACAACCTAGTTGACAACTAAAACCTATTGTAGTTTAGGTCTGAACATGCACAGCAATATGGCTTGCTTTTACATCAAAGACTGCATATACAACATTATTCATACAATTATGCTCTTGGAGACGTTTAGTGGTACATAATTCTCTTGCTAAAATCTTCATCATATACCAAATAGATAGCTGTCTTTTTCACTGTTAATTCACATGCAAAAGTGACTATAACCTCTACTCTGTTACCAGGCTCCCAATTAGAAATAATGTTTTTCCACTCTTCATCCTCTGAAGTAGTTGTTGCATCTTTCTCGTACAATTTAATGGTAGTCTTTGTACGATTTGATACCAAGACACCAACAGGATATAATGTCATGTTGTCTTGAGAAGACAAATAGGTAATGCAAATAATCATTCCTTTCAAGCTCCTGCCAAATATTTGAGGCACTTCAAACAATATTGAAGATCCTTCACCTTTGAAACTTAGCCACTCAGGATGATTGTCTTTGGGAAGAGAACTGTCACCAAACCCTCTTTCACTGCATCCCTGAACCATGAAAATAACAAAGAAAACCAATAATAAACAGTGTAGAGAAAAAGATATGCATATAAATGGGCACTATTCAACTACAAATTATATCAGAACTCATGCTTAAACAAGTATATTTAAAAACACTAACTGAAGTCAGCTTGATTATGTGTCTAAAGCTTATTATCAAATTAGTGATAAGTACTGGGAATTTAAAGTCCTAACTATGGTATATTTATTTCCAAGTGTATCAAAGTAAGGGTTTCTAGATAACGTCAAATATACAATAGTGCATTATTGCACATTTAAACGCATTCAATGTTGTTAAAAGTATAATTAATGTGCAATATTATTACGCACATATAACATTGACAAGCTATAAATTTAAAGTAAATCATTTCGCATTCAAGTTTCAAAATGTTTGAGTTACTTAATTAAAGGGTTTGTAGATATATATATATATATATATATGAGAAAAGTAGATCTTTTATGAATACTGAGAATTGAGATTGTTGAACCATGCATTAGTGGCTGAGAGAGATAAAGAAAATAACCTGTGAGATATTTTTTAAAAGTGCATCGATAACTTTATTGAACCCACCAACATGAATTGTGAGGGAACTCATGAAAGTTTCTGACCTTTCCATGTGAATTTGATCTTGAAAACCAATTAATGTTGAAGAATTTCTACATGAAGCTTGAGACGTGCTCGGTATTGCTTCTAATATTTCATGACTTTTGGCACGTGAAGGATGTGATAGACCCTTAATCAAAGATGGCATGATCCCAAAGGATTGGAACAAGGACTTTGAATGATTTGTTGGGGACACCCAAGACAAAACAATAGAGGGAAATACATCACGTGATAATCCTTCATAGCCGCATAGAGACACATATTTAATGCTTTTCATTCTCACCAATGAAAAGGGTACTTGTGTTATAGCAGTTTGATTGGCCATCAAAGTTGTCAAGGATTCCATTTGCTCGATGTCTTCTTCTAACTTTTCAATCTTTGAACAACCAAAAAGATTGAGGGTGTTTAAAGATCTCAACTTATATATATTTCTTGGGAGATCTCTTAAGCTTTTGCAGTCCTTCAAATTTAACAAAATAATATATTTGAGATCTCCAAGGGAGGGGTGAATCATAGACAAACTCAGACAATCTTTGAGTATTAACTTCTTGAGGTTAGGCAACATTGAAAAGTTAGGTGTTTCTATCAAGTAATGTGAATGACTCAAATTCAGAATTTTTAACCTCTCCAACAACTGTGCAATGAAAATATTTTAAAATATCAGATGGGAATAAATATATTAAGAAAATCACTATCATTAATGAATTATTTAAAAATTTCTTCATATAAATACCTGGCTTTTCTCCCATACTTTTATGAGATTACTCCACTTTAAGTCTATGGCAACTACCTTTTCTAGACTTAAGTTCATTGGCATGTTTTCTAAGGGGAATCCCTGCCAACAAAGCCATCTCAATTCTTTTGATAGATAACCATAATCTCCATCAAGTTTTACACGATCAAGTTGGAGCAGACGAAGTCTCTTCATCTTCTTAAATGCTTTGGTACTCAATGATAGTGAATTGTTCCTTGACAAGTTTAAAGCCAATCCCTTGATAGCTATTGTCCCCTATTAATTAGAAATAAAATAAAGTAAAATAAATGATATTTCACTAATAGGAAATCATAAAATGCAAATAAATAATGGATGCTAATGGTTTAAAAACCATAATAGACATGAGAAAAGATAGGAAACACAAAATGATGAGTAATGAAGAAATAACTAAAATAGTGCAATTGAAGGTCATGCAGAAAATTCTTACTGTGCTATTTTTCAACACATCTAGTACATCATCATGAAACCATAATCTTGCACGCTTCTCTAGCTCCTCTGGTGATTGTTCACGTATGATTTCTCTTCCCATGTCACGCAATAAGTCATGCATATCAAGCTTATTTTTGTTGCCAATTTTTACAAGGCTTCTCTCTATTAAACGGTTAATTCCAATGTCTGCATGAAGTCCGCAACCATTTAATATTTGAGTGGCATAGCTTATATCCTTGCCAATAAAAAAACAACATATATCAAGGAACAAATCTTTCTCAGTATGATCACTCAAACCATCATAGCTTATTTTTAGCTTTTTATGTATTTGATCGTTTGGAATTTGTTTTAGTTTCTCTAAAACACTTTCCCAAAGCATTATTTCTCTGTCAAACAAGTAACAGCCAAGGACTTCAAGAGCTAGTGGTAACCCTCCGGAATATGAAACTATCCTTCTTGAAAGTTCAAAGAAATCTCTTTTAGGGACTGCTTGCTTAAAAACATGCCAACTAAAAAGCTCAAGAGATTCATCATCATCCATTTCTTTCATAGTGTATACTTTATCCACTCCAAGTATCTTGAATAGACGTTCATCTCTAGTAGTGATGATTATTCTACTGCCTTGACCAAACCAATCACGACTTCCACATAAAGCTTTTAGTTGGTCTTCATTATTTACATCATCAAGTACAATAAATGCCTTTTTATTACAAAGCATTTCCTTAACTAGGGTTTCCCCCCTTTCTATACTTGGTAGTGTTACCCTTCTTGCTCTTAAGATTCCTGTAAGAAGCTGTTCTTGCAAATAAACTGGACCATTATCTTGCTTCCAAACTTCTCTAACATTTGCAAGGAAATTCTTTCCATCAAATCTTTGACCAATTTCATTATAAATGGCTTTGGCAATCGTGGTCTTGCCCATCCCTCCCATCCCCCAAATCCCAACTATGATAACCTCATTTGGTTTATCATTTAGCAATTGCATAATTTCTTGCACACGAGACTTCACCCCCACTGGATGGTGAGCAATGAACAAGCTTTTGTTGTCATTTAGCTTCATTGTGATGGTTTCAGTAACATGATCAATCAATTCAGATTCAATTCTGGAAACAAGATATTAGATATATAATATATAAATGATACCAAGAATCCTTAAAATGTGTGGTACAAACTGTAAGCAAGAAGTGGTAAGCATGTTTAGTGAACCAAAATAAAAATATGAATAGCATGACCAACTTTTCTGCTGCTAGATCCATGATTCTAGGGTAGTTAATTATGTGTTGATAGCTCAATCAAGGTTGTTCATGAGAATAAGCTCATGTTATAGCCAGTTATGTCTCTTTTCATGTAATATTATTCCATTGAAGCCTCTATCACCAAAAGGAACTCAACACAAACATTAACAAAAGAAACAAAGAGGTTATAGAATTTGAGTTTTTGAATAATAACAAGAAAAATATATAATAAATTAAAAAATACCTGTAATTTTGCATATCCCATCCAGATAAGTTAGCAGCTTCAGTAAGGGCTCTTTGCAAATTGGTTGTCAACTTCTTACTTTTGCCATTTGAAGATCTCCAATACATAAGGAATTTTCTAAAAGTATTTTGTTGTTTGCGAAATTCAGATGGTCTCACATCATAGAAAATGGGTAAAACCTCTTGAAAAGTTGCTTTGTGACACTCCATGATTTTCTCTAATTCTTGCAAGCACCAATGAGAACCAATATAATTTTTTGAGAATACAACAATTGAAATTCTAGAACTTTTAATTGCTTGCATTAGTGAGGATGAAATATTTTCTCCCCTTCCAAGCCCTTGATCATCTATGAAGACCTTAATGCCTGCTTGTTTTAGAGCATTATAAAGATGAGTAGTAAATGATTTACGTGTGTCTTCACCTCTAAAACTTAAAAATACATCATGGAAATATTTGGGCATTGGCTTATAGGGGCTAATTTCCCTTCCTACCTCCTGCAGCAAATCATGAACAAGAAGCTTGCCATTCACAACCTTTACAATTCTTCGCTTAATGATTAAGGGCATTACCTTTTCTACTGGGAATCTTTGGCCCTTTAGCAATTTTGTGACATCGTCTTTCCTTTGACCCACATAGAAGCAAACTATATTAAAGAACAAATCTTTCTCTAGATCAGTTAAAAAGTCAAGGCTTATCTTCAATTTCTGTTGTACTTGACCAGCTACAATTGCTTTCAATTTATTCAATATTCTTTTCCACTCCGATTTTACTCTGTTATGCAAAAGAGAGCCAATAACTTCAAGAGCCAATGGTAACCCTTCACATTGAATCATTACTTTTGTTGAAAGATTCTCAAAATCATCCGTTGGACTAAGTTTCCTGAATGCATGCACACTGAAAAGCGAAAGGGAATCATTATTGTCCAACCTTCTCATTTCATATGACTCATCAACAAAGGGATCAAGTAAATCCCTATTTCTTGTTGTGATGAAAATTAAACTCCCTTTGCCAACATTGTTTCTTTGTCCACATAGTTCTCTGAGTTGTTCTACTCGATCTACATCATCAAGTACTAATAGAGTTCTTCTACAGAGTGTTTGATCCAGTTGTTGAAGTGTCAATTCAATGTCATTTATCTCGCTCAGTTCAATTTTATAAATAGCCAAGAGAAGTTGTTTTTGTGGAATAACTCGCTCATCATCTTTCTCCCATACATCCTTGATACTTTCAATGAAAATTTTACTTTCAAAATCTTTACCAATTTTATCATAAATGGCTTTAGCAACAGTAGTTTTACCAATACCACTAGCTCCCCATATTCCGATTACGGTTGCACCTTTCATTGGAAAGTGTTTCGTCTTCGATAGGTGAATCACTTCTCTTACCCGAAGCTGTAACTGCATTGCATGGTTGGGAAGGTCGCCAAGCAAGTATTGGTTTAATTTTGCCACAAGGTTGTTGATTTCCCCCTCGTCATTAATGCTGGCCAATTATAATTGAATTAAGTAAAATAGGAAAAAAAATGAAAGGTAACACTGTTAAACTCATTAATAGAAAATGTTGACAGTGCAATTTTAAATTCAAATGTTAATAAAACTTGTTTAAGTGCTGACATAATTATTTTACATTTTAAACTTTAAATAAGCCCACTAAAATTTCAGTCCAAAAATAAAATTAAAAAGATAAAAAGACCACTAGAATGCAAAAAATAAATAAATGCAATTAGAAGATTTCAACACAAAAACTATTTCTTTTTTGTAAAAATTTAATTTTCTTTGGGTAAAACACCAATCTTTAGATTTTTTATTTTTTATTTTGGAATGAATTTCTAGTAGGCTTATTTTAATTTTAAAATATAAAAATGAGTATATCAGCATTTAAGCCAGCTTTGTCAATATTTAAAATTATAGAGTTAGCGTTTTCTATTAATGAGATTAACAGTTTCAATAAATTATAGAATTAAAAAATAATTTAAGAATTAAGTTTTAAAAATAAAACTTTGTATAGAATTAAAGGAGTAAATTTATACTTTTGCTAAAATTTAATTATCCCATGCTTTTAATTGAAATATATATATAATTGATCTATGCATTCATTCAACGGATGATCATGGCCTCATTGGAGTTGAATTAAACCATCAAAGATTGTCAATCCGCAAAGGTAAGAGCCATTAATCTATCTATTCGCTTAGAAGTATTCAAATCCCTTTATGGTTCTATGATAGTAGATGAAAGCCATGGGAAAGCTCACTGTAAATGTGAGAGGTTAAGAAATAGAGGTGTTTAAAGACTATCTAATCAGGCTAATTCACTATTAGAAAAATACAAATTAGTGAGGGATCGTTCATTCCTCTCTAAAATACCAAATTAGTGAGGGAATTAGCAAGGGATATTGATTTCATATATTGACTTAAAATTAGCAAGAAAAATAGTGAGGAACTGTCAATCTCTCTCTAAAATAAGATAATTAGCGAGAAAAATAATGAGGGACTATCAATCCCTCTCTAAAATAAGACAATTAGTGAGAAAAATAAAGAGGAACTGCCAATCCCTCTCTAAAATAAGATAATTAGTGAGGGATTATGTCTCTAGCTAATTACTACAAAAAATAATTTTTTACAATGACTTTTAATTATATATTTAATTATTTTAATTTAAAAATAAAAATTAAATTTAAAAATTATCTAAAATATCCATAATAAAATTATTTAATATTTTCTTCATTTTAAGTTGATTTTCATTAATAAAATAATATTTTATTAAAAATATACTATAAATAATAATTTAAATAAAATATAAATATTTTAACATATTAATAGTTGAAAATAAAATTTAATATGTATATATGTGTATATTTTTATAATATATTATTTGATATATTTATATAGTTAAATAATATATATTTAATTTTTCATATAATGACTGCATGTGCCTTTTAGTTCAACTAGCAAACAAGGAGAGCGCAAGGCTTAGAAGGTATGAGGTCAAGGGTTCAAGTCTTAGCTTTGGCATAAACATAATGAATATATGACATGATAAGGAGCAAGTGACATGACGCAAGGTGGACGATGACATGTCATAAGTTGTCGCACATATGGTGGGTAATAAGGCATGAGATAGTAGGTGACATAGTAGTTGACAAGGCACGAGGTTGTTGGTTACATGTCACGAGTTGATGTACACGTGGTGGGTGTTGTGGCATCATTATTTTTAAATATAGGTATATTTAGCGAGGGACTAATTCCTCACTAAAATGATTGAATTTTGAATAGTATTAGCGAGAGATCAGCAAGAGAGTCAATCCCTAGTTAATTTTAGCAAGGGATTGATTTTTTTTCTAATTAGTGAGAAAAACAGAATTTCTCGCTAAATTTAGCAAGCTTTTTTTTAGCTATGAATTTAACGAGGGACAAAATCCCTCACTAAAATGCAATTTAGCTAAGAAAAATAACATTTAGCAAGGAATTTGTCCCTTGCTAAATTCCTTTTTTTAGTAGTGATTATTGGACCTACCAAGTGATGGCTCAAGGAGAAGCCTCACATATGCTGGACTCTTATTCACAATTGAAATCTTAAGGATAGCCCATTCACAAAACCAACCTCTATGCCTTTTATGCATAGAGTCATTCACCATATTCTGACAAGAACCATCATGTGAAAGTAGCAAAGACAACTGAATTATATGACTCAAAAGGAGTTGATTTATATCACAGCAATCTTGAAAGGATTCAAGATCAATGTTCCCTTCATCATCATGAACAGGATGAGGGACCTTGTGAAGCTATTAGAGAGCAACTCAATTTCTACCTTATGGCTCTCTCATCTCAAATATTTTAGATAATGCCAAGATTTTGTACTTAGAAGGGAAAACATATATTCAGTTTGTGAAGTCATGGGAAAAAAGACATTCAATAAGATGCAGCTTCCAATGCTTGTTGAAGATCAAGGGTCTCATTACTATCCAACCTTCTCATTTCACACGATTCATCAAGAAAGAGATCAAGTAAGTCTCTATTTCTTGTTGTGATGAAAATTAAACTCCCTTTGCCAAGATTGTTTCTATGTCCATATAGTTCTTTAAGTTGCTCTACTTGATCTACATCATTAAGTACTAATAGAGCTCTTTTACAAAGTGTTTGATCCATTTAATGAAGTGTCACTTCAACATCATTTCTCATTCAACATCAATTCAGCTTCTGTAGAAGCACTCATTCATAATCTTTCTCCCATGCATCCTTGATATTTTCAATGAAAATTTTACTTTGCAAACCTCCACCATTTTTATTATAAATGGTTTTAAGGATAGTAGTTTTACCAATATCACTAACTCTCTATATTTCCATTATGGTTGCATCTTTCATTGGAAGGTGTTCCTTCTTCAATAGGCAAGTCACTTCTGTTGGAACATTAGGAGCAATTAGTGTTTAATTACCTGCTTAGTTGGTATCCCTAAATTTATATAAATGATCATATCATTGTGTTGAGCAAGTAAGTTTTATTTTACTTTCAAGAGGGAGGTTAACAAAAGTACTCACTTTAAGTTAATTCCCAAAATGAGGTTTTGTTCATCACCCAAGAGGGTTAATTGATTGTAACCCTTCAAGTGAAGGAATGTAGTATTGTTTGTGATCATCATTTGAATTGATTAATGAAAGGTTTTCTCCAAGATCATTTTCTCAACATTGTATCATGAGCTGGCTGATTTGGGCTTGAAGAGCAGCTGATTTCTTTTTCATCCATAAACTCTATTTGTCAAGACTCAAAATTTGGGCCAGAAAACAAAATTCAGATGCCCATTCTCATTGTAGTCTTCCAACAGGTGGTGGGCAGAAACAGGTAACCAACATCCGTGCCCTATCAAGAACCCGACCCTCAAAATTGCTCAAGATTTGTCGTTGTCTCAAGCCCTATCGTGCCAACAGCTCTAAACAACGTCGATTTGACACCAAGAACACGACTTCGCCGGCGGCCGAACGAAAACGCGTCTCTCTTCTCTGCCACGTCCAAGATTCCTTGCCGGTGACGTCCTCCATAGCCACCGCTCCGACCTTGACGTTTTGTCTAATTCCTGCAACAACCCGAATATTCTTATTCTCGTCATTGCTAGCCTCTCTCGGTTGTGTCTCTGCTCGCTACTTTCGCTCGAAATCATGCCTCGATTGTTCAGTGGTGAGTTCATTGGCAAGTGTGTGACTGTTTTCCTGAATGAGTCAGAAGACGAAATCTTGAAGGTGAGCTTTCTGGTGTCTGGTTTCTTGCATTTGTTTCTCTGACTGGAAATATGTGCGAGTCAATGGGGTCTTGCTTGCCGCCATTATCGGCCCCTGCTTCCTAAGCCTCGTCCAGTCATCGCTTCAAGTCAGGAGATTTCTTTGTTCGCCAGATAAAAAAAAAAAAAAAAAAAGACTAAAGAACACTGTTGGAGTCCGCTGCACCGACACTGTCGTTCTCGGCGTTAAGAAAAAGTCCACCGCCTAGCTTCGAAACACCAGATCGGGCTCGAGTTGAATGTCAAAGTCACAGGCTTATAGTTGAGGGCCCAGTTGCAGTTGAGTACATAACTCGTTTCATTGCTGGTCGTCAGTAAAAGTACACCCAAAAGTGGTGGTGTGAGACCATTTGGCCTTTCAACCTTGATTGTTGGTTTTGATCCATACACTGGCACACCACCCCTGTACCAGACAGATCCTTCTGGGACGTTTTTCAGCTTGGAAAGCAAATACAATTTACAGTGCTTTGGATGAGGACGGGGTCTTGGACATAGACGCCAGCATCTCTTTAAACTACTTGGCATGTGGCTGTGGTTATTTGGAAAGACTATAACTGGTGTTGTTATTCGGAATCCTGGACCTAGTGATGGATTTGTTGGAATTGCTGCTCCTTCTCTCGCGAGAATTCTCCCAATTGATTTGGCATTTAATGGAAAGATTTTATACGTTAGCCAGATGCTTTTCTTTGCTCTGCAAATGATTTTGGTTAACCACATTGGCTTATTTTACATGGTTCAAATGATTTTGGTTACTTAATCAAGTTGCTTTTTGGTAAATTTCGTCTTCCAGATAGTCTAATCTTTGGAGCTGGTCCAGTGGTGATTGAAGAGAGAGAAAGTTGTCCAAGAGAAGAAAGTAATCAAGAAGGATGTGAAGAAATTATTGTGAAGAGGATGCAGAATGCAGAGAATACATTCCCCAGGGAATCTGATAGAGCTTTTGAAGGCTTTGTTTTCATCCCACAAAGATAGGATAGTTTGTAATCTTGTAAGTGAAGGAACGTTGTATTGTTTGTAATATCCATTTGAGTAGATTAATGAAAGTTTTTCTTCATCATCATTTTTTCAACAGCTTCTCTTACACGAAGTTGTATGCCCATTGCATGGTATGGACTATCATGAGGCAAGTACTTGTCTAATTTTGCCACAAGGTTGTTAATTTCATTTTCATCATTAATGCTGGCCAATTAGAATTGAATAATTGAATAGAGTTAAAAAAAAAAAAAAGAGGGAACAGTGTTTTAGAAAGGGAGAATGGAGGGCCGGGATGACGAAAAAAACGATGAGGCTCAAAATAATCAAATGTTCATCTATGTATAAATGAATTGATGAATCTGAACTTATACATAGATGAATGTTGTTATGGGCCCTCAGTATCCCCCCCCCCCCTCCCCTTGGCCCTCACTGCTCTTCTCCCTTTTAAAAAATTTAAGATAAAAGTATAATTTTTTATATTTTAATCTTATATAAAGTTTCAATTTAATCTCTTAATTTTATGGAGTAATTGTTTTGGCCCACTAATTCTAATACTATATAATCAATTTTTATATTTTAAAATTAAAATTAGCCTACTAAAAGTCAGTTCAAAAATTAATCACGAGAATAACATGACAAAAATAATTCTGTAAATACACAACTGATTTTAGTACAATTTTGTTACCTGAACTCAGATGACAGTGTGAAGCCGGATAAGTCAATAACTTCAGCGAGGGCGAAATCACGTTCTAGTGAACGATCCGCATACATGAACTCTTGTACTTCTCGCTTACCCAGATCACAGAATACTGGCAGCACTTGTATTTTCATAGTTCTATGACAGTCCATTATTTGCACCACCCTCTCCAGACATCTGTCAGAATCAAGGAACGTTCTTGTGAAGATAATCATAGCAATTCTACACCCTCGTATGCTTATAGTATTACGTCCGAAAAGATTCTCCATCTGTGCATCATCAAAGAAAGGAATGATTCCAGCATCTCCTAAAGCATCTTCAAGATAGGCTTTTACAGGATGATTGGTGTCTCTCAGAGTTATCACCACGTCGTAAGATTTGGAAGATGAAGGAGCAAAAGAAGAGGACATGATTAATTCCAGGAGACCAAGGAAGCAGATGATCGGATATTATATTCTTGGCATAAATGGATGAACATCTAAACGCAAGGGGATTTGATGACCTTAATTTTGTTTAATTGGCTTTGAATCCAATTCAATTATTCAATTAATTATTAGCATTCGCACCCTGCTACAACGCGGACATGCAAAAAAAGAAAAAGAAAAAGAAAAAGAAAAAGACACGATTAAAAACAAATAATACACGATTAAAATATTAGAAATTACGAGAGGCAGAAGCATGTAGCCTTTTATTTGCTCACTGCAATTAACAATGATACATTGACTTGACCCAGTCAATTGTACCCATAAAAGAATGAGAATATTCTTTGGCCAAAAACACTAAAATAAAAGAAACCGCGTCGAGAAAATAAAAAATAAAAAATAATTTAATTGGTAAAGATTTTACCTGCTCCAAAAGGTCAAAGACTTAAATTCAGCTGATGATGTAAGAGAGCTTTATTAATGGACAGTCTATAATTTTTTTTTTTTTTTTTTTTGAGCTGAGAGGCATATTTTTTCTTTCGCATCCGGCGTCCTGAAGCATTTGAATATGTTAGGTTTATTGTTTGCTCAGTTCGATCTAGACTAATTCAAAGCCTCGCTTAATGTGCCCTTTTTGAGGTTTTTGTCACAAGCACCTCAAGTGATGCATGCTTAATTATATTGCTGCATAATGCGAAATTTCATATTAAGCTGTCACAAGTCACAACAACTTAGACAAGTGCCCTTCAATAGCCTAGATGCATATTCTAATTTTAAAAAAATTGTGAACTCAACTCATTTATATTTTTCTTTACCAAAAAAAAAAAAGAAAGAAAGAGAGAAATGGCTTAAATGAACAGCCTAAAAATTTTAATTAATTTTGAAGAACTTAAATACATTATATTAACTATTAGATCCTCTCATTTCAAAACCACTGTCTTCTCAACTTGCCACTTCCCAAAATTTAAGGTGTAATCAGCATGCAAAATATGTACAACTTATATTCCTTAAGCTTTAACTCAAGAAATGTCTAATTTCAACCATAAACATATTTATCATATTGAGTAAAACTATTTGATATATACTTTACATGATAACAAAAGTCATAAATTTTTGTAGAAATTTCGATAGAAATTTCTTTATAAATATGACTTAACTTTTAATTAAGACTTAACTTTATTAGTTTTCATAAATCAGTTATAATTATTTTATGAGTAAATAGAAAGGAAACTCAATCCAATTTTTGGATTTTTTTTAAATGGTCAGAATATATTAGTGTGTGTTTTGATAAAAAAATTTGCAACTAAGATTAGAAAAAAAAATAAGTAAATGTAACATGATTTATGTTTGGATATTTTTTTTTCAAAAGTCAGTTAGATAAATTACAATTTGTTTGGATGATTTGATTCAAAAGTCAGTTGAAATATTTAATGACAAAAATAAACATAACTTTTTTTGTATATGTTTTTTTGACCAAATAATTAGTAGGAAATATTAAACTTCAAAAATCTTAAATATTCAAATACGAAAAGTTAAAATAAATTCATAACAAAGTAAAAGTTTGATTTTACTATGCAAGAAAAAAGCTTGATTCTAGATTGATTTATCCACAAATTATTTCTTATATTTTGTTAGCGTCGTTTTTGTAAATATTTTTAGATAAGAATTCTTTAAACTTTTTCTTTTCGAACTGAAATTAAGAATGAAGGTAAGAAAATTAGAGTGATTGATACATTCTATGTCTCATAAATCTAAAAAATAAATAATGTTTGATCAAAATTGATGAAAAGGTGTTGGATGGTTTAGTTTTTATAGTAGAGGCTACCTAGTGTTTTTTGAAAAATAGTTCATAGCTAAATTTACATCTTTACACATGCCGACATAAAGTGCTTATGGAGTGCCATATGTCATTGTGGGCCTCATATAACGTCTATCCACTAAAATTAGCAAAGAGCTATTTGATGCTCCGTTTTTAAAAGTTCATAATTTATTTTACACCATCTGATAGTTTAAAATACTAGATACGTCTGAAAAATAATGAGTAACTAGATTTGCACCTTTACCCTACATACACACACTCATATAGAGAAGCTTAAACTTAATATCTTAAGTTTTATGGACTAGCCCTAAATACCTAAATCATTAAAGTTTATTTTATTTTTTTTAGTCAATCTCAATTTTTACTTTAAAAAATTAGCATTTTTCAAGAAGCAAAACACTACAGCGCATCTATTTTTTTATCCTTACTAATGTAAGACCAAGCATCGAAAGAGTAATGAAAATAATATATGAAGTAACCTCTTGTATTTAGTTTTCCTTAACATTTTTAAAAAAGATTCAAAACAAACTAATTATTGGAACATTGAAACTTAAAGATGTGCAAATTCGAAGTCTGAAAGATGAATTATGAGTATGAATTGAATGCTAAAATGAAGGCCAATTTCATTTTGTTAATTAAAAAGAATTCAAGTATTCAGACCAAGTCTATTATACTTAAATGAGCCGATCCCGATCCTAATATTTTTAAAATTTATTCGAGTTAGCCCATCAAACTTAGTTTTAATTATTGACTCTACATCCTATACTTACTACATAGATGTATATTAGAGCTTGTTTTTACCCATTAATTATACTCAATGTTGAGTTTGGTTGCTTAATCTTGCATTTAATTATCTATTTAATATTTGGCTACCATTAGATATGAATATCGGTGTTGGGGTTTTTTCTTGACAAGGAGAAATTTCATTTGGACCCTTAAATTGAATAATATGGGATTAGATTATTATCTAACTTACAATTAGGATATAAATATGCCTAAGTACATTATATAATTAAATTAGAGTGAGTTAAAATTGAAGTTGCCTCTTAGATAATTTTGTTTAATTAATTTAAGAGAGGATTATATAAGGTTTGAAAAGCCCTAATAGCCATCAATACTCTATATTAATAAAATTGGCATTAAAATTAATTAATTAGGTAAAAGCAAGATCTATGAAACTAGCAAAAGATTAATAACTCCATGTTACCTTGGACATTTGTAGTTGTTGGATTGAAAATTTTATTACATTTTATTCATTTCAATTTTAACTTTGGTTAATCAATCGATTCTAATTGATTTTTCTTAACATGAACAAAAGTAAAAGTTTTATTACTTAATTGCTATTTTGCTTGATCTCTCGTGTGATCGACCTTGATGTATTAATATATTGCATATTGATCCATACATTTGTGATGAATTATTTTGTGTGCATCAAATGGGTAAAAAAGAAGACGTGTTTTTTTGAATCTATTGGCCCTTGACTGTTGTGAAAATTCCAAAATTTATTACCCTGCGACTTCGTTCCATGACCATTTTTAAGTATATAGTTACATGTTTTTTTTATATAAAACATTCAGTCCCGACTTCAGAGGTATATGTGTTTGAGATAAAAAAAATAGAAATACAATAATTTTCATGACGAACCAAATATTATTGGTTTAACATGACCAAGTGATTTCAGAATTATAAAATCCAAACGATGTCATTTTATAGGCTTTTCAGGGAGACATAGCATACACTACATTAATGATTAATTCCTCTAAATCCTCCTATAATTCCTCTAAGATCAGATTCTGATGAGTATAAATATTTACAATTAGTAGGATATTCTGCAATAATATTCTAGGAGATTATTTAACATGCTTAAAAGTTGGAACGTGGTGTAAGAAGTGGATTTGGATCTGATAGGCCAGCAAATAAAAATAGGGGAAAGGTTTACAAAAGGAAAATGGAGAAAGGAGGCCCAACGAAGAAGACCCAAGACAACGCAACCCAAACAAGTGAAGGGCAGAATGGGGAAGCAGTGCAGGCTAAAAAGTTTTCTGACTTGTCAAGTAGTGGTGGTGGGTAGAAGACTGGGAAGGGAGAGGCTGTGAAGGCAGGCAGAATTTCGCTTGGTGAGGAGAGGTCCTGGTCTCTCGAATACCAGGAAAGGAGTGTGTTTATGTTATTTCTTAAATGAGTTCTTGTTCTGTGGTGTGTGAGACAGATTTGAGTGTGATTGGTGATTGTATTCCTCCACATTTTCCCACAGTAATAGAGGTTTACAACGAATCTTCATCATATTTCACTGTTTTAGTAGCCAAGTTCTATCACTTGGTATTAAAGCAGACTGTTCTGGGGGGAATGGTTAACACCCGAATGGAAAACAGAGTTGATCAGTTGGAGCTTGTGATGGAGGAGGTGTAGAGGAAACAAGGTGAGACCACTGAGGCGATCACCGGGGTGGAAACATCCGTGGAACGCATCCTTGACGAACTAGGCCAGATTAGGGTAGCTCTTGAGGCCTCTAATAACAACAGAGAGGAGGTAGGATACGAACACAGAATAGAACGAGAATCAGAGATTCCACGGGCAGAAACAGGGGACCATGAAGCCAGAAACACTTGGGGAGTAGGAGGTGAAAGCGTTGGACAAAATGGCACCAATCGATACAGGAGATTGGAGCTACCCTTGTTCGATGGTGAGGACCCACTTGGGTGGATTTCCAGGGTCTAGAGGTACTTCACCGTTAATGGTATAACAGAGCAAGAGAAGTTAGATGTAGTTGAGGTTAGTCTGGAGGGCAAGGCGCTTGCCTGGTTCCAATGGCTTGACACGCGGACTCCGGTGAGAACATGGAAGGAGTTCCGAAAGGAAAGGAGTGTGTTTATGTTATTTCTTGAGTGAGTTTTTGTTCTGTGAGTGTGTGAGACGGATTTGAGTGTGATTGGTGATTGTATTCCTCCACATTTTCCCACAGTAATAGAGGTTTACAACGAATCTTTATCATATTTCACTGTTTTATTAGCCAAGTTCTATCAGGATCACCAGGTTAAAATGCCATTTATCTCCTTTTCAGCTGTGGTAATTAAAAGAATATATTTAGTTTTGGATAAAGAAAATGAACAAGCAGGCAACCCTTTTATACATTGTATTAGCAAAAGAGACGCATGCACTTTTTTAAAGTGA